TGGCCAGCAGGTCGAGGGAGGTGATTCTGCCCCTCTACTCTGCTCTGGTGAGACCTCACCTGGAGTACTGCGTTCAGCTCTGGAGCCCTCAGCACACGAAGGACATGGAACTGTTGGAGCGGGTCCAAAGGAGGGCTACAAAAATGATCCGAGGGCTGGAGCACCTCTCCTATGAGGACAGGCTGAGAGAGTTGGGCTTGTTCAGCCTGGAGAAGAGAAGGCTGCGGGGAGACCTGATTGCAGCCTTTCAGTACTTAAAGGGAGCCTATAGGAAAGATGGAGACAATCTTTTTAGTAGAGACAGCAGTGACAGGATGAGGGGTAATGGTTTTAAACTAAAACAGGGTAGGTTTAGGCTGGATATAAGGAAGAAATTCTTTACAATGAGAGTGGTGAAACACTGGAACGGGTTGCCCAGAGAGGTAGTGGAGGCCCCATCCCTGGAAACATTCAAGACCAGGTTGGACAGGGCTCTGAGCAACCTGATCTAGTTAGCGGTGTCCCTGCTCGCTGTGGGGGGGTTGGACTAGATGACCTCTAGGGGTCCCTTCCAACCCAAAACTTACTATGATTTTATGATCTTGATTATTTAGCACCACTGAAAGCTACGACACATCAGGCCAGCTGCTCTCCAAAAGTGTAAAGGAAGCTTGGAGGGGACACAAATTTTCAGGCACTGAAATCCATTTATATCCTAATATTGAAGCAAAATCTATGAAAGGGAGTTGAAAGTTTTTGTGTATTTCAGAAGGTATGTGGGTCAGACCAAGGCAACAGTAAGGAGGAATTTGAGAAGGTAAATGAGAATCTGTTCCTTGTTTCACTGTCAAAATTTCAAAACATTTCATAACAATGAAATTAAGGGTTAGCAGAATACATTCCTGAGATCATCAGCCCTTGCATGAAAAGGTGGGGAGACATTATAGCATAATTTGTAATTTTGTGTAACTGCCAGTGAAGGCGTGAAGCTATGGAAGTACTTCATAAGCTAATGACAAAATGGAAGAATTCATGTGCAAGAAAGTAACAAAAGCATACTTAATAGCTGATTTTCAGTCTATCTGGCCTTCAAAAAGTAAACTCATAACTTCAATATATGAGGAACTAGAGCAACTAAAGCAAATAACCAAAACCGTCACGCATTAAACTAAAGTAGGATTCAAACTTCACTAATTAATGTGAAAACTGAGAAGACATCTATTCAGGGAGGATATTTTTATTTGTTTTGCTCTTTTATGGATAGCAAAACAGTAGCTCCTGTCACTATTTGAAAGGCTTTGAAGACTGTGAGAGGAAAACAGCCAACATGAACTACTTTCTACTACGTTATTAGCTTGATTCAAAAAATGCAGCATTGAAAGCTGCTCTTTGGAAATTGGCTACACTAGTGAAATCCATATTTTGAAAAATATATGTGTTGTTATGCAAGAAATTCTTCCTCATCCTGCAGGTCTGCCAGGACAATGGCTATAGTCCAGACTGTAACGGTTGAGTGCTGAGGGGGAAAAAGTAGAACAAAAGTGACTAAATCCCCTGCAGAGGTTTATGGCAGTGGACTGTGTTCTACATAGGTCAGAGATAAAAAGTAAAGGTGAGCAGAAGGATGCTGCTACTTTGAACGTCCTCTGTTCCTACACAAAGTAAATTTTCATTCGGAGATTTGCTAACTATTGTAACAGAAGCACATTAAGAAATCAAAACCAACAGCAGATGGTCTGGACTTCTCCAAACATGCAAAAACTTCTGCCATGCAAAAACTTCTGCCAGTGCACACCTTGGCCAAGGGTTTCAAAGAAGCGCTGAAAGGCCTTGCACAGCTCCCAAAACAAGCAGGCATGCCAACAAAGACGTGTGCCTTGGATCAGCTGGGGGATGGCGGGACACTCCTAAGCAGTTTCCCCTCTTAGCCTATTGAAAAGATTAAACTCCATCTCTGGCAATCCAAAGTAAGAACATTGTTGTTAATTTTCCCTTAGCTGCAATCAGTGGGCAAGTGTTTCCCAGAGATGCAGCAAGGATTTTACTTTTACTAGAGTCTGTGCGTGTCATAGCTATACTCTTTTCGGGAAGTAGACAGAGACAGAAAAAATAAAACCATCTGCTAATAGTTGATGCAAAGCAAGATTTACAGAACTGAGCTGTCCATTTTCTCACCTGTGGTATCTCTTGTCTGTGGGAGTTTTATTTTTTTTTTAATGCAAGCCGCTCTTCAACACAATAATAAAATAACAATAATCTACCTCTTGTCAACCACCAGGCAAGGAAAAATATAAGTATTAGGCTCTGCTTTAATATGACAGGGAAGAGAGTTTTTTACAGGTCCTGAATCCATCATTCTCTGACAATTTGATTTGTACTACAGCTTTTTATTAAAACTTACATTTTCCTTCTTCATTCCTGCACAGGACCTTGGTATCATCTGTACTTTCTATAATTTCAAGAGACTCCCCTGGTTTAACTTGTAAGTCTTTAGGTCCCCATCTTCTCTGAGGCAAATCCTGGACTGTCGTGGTAGAGTAAAGAACCTTAATTTCACCCTCAAACTGAAAAAAAAAAAAAAAAAAGAGGCTGGTTGAGAGCCATCAAAGTAAAAACTGCCCCACTACAGGCTGGTTGAGAGCCATCAACGTAAAGCTTATGATCATGCATTTTTTAGGGCAGTATATTCCCATTTATTACTAACTTTTTGAAAATCAGGCATATAATTGCTTATGCTATGTAATGTATGCCCACGCTTGCCATTTGGACTTACTATGAAGCTGAATTTGTTGAAATTAAAAGCATATGCCCAGATCACTATGTTTACAAGTAGTAACACTTTACCTTTCAAAGGCAAAATAATGGGTTATTTACAAATTTGGGGATACAAACTAAAGGACAGCATAATGTATTTTAATTTTAAGTGAACAAAACTTACTTTGAACAAAACTTACTTTGAACAAAACTTACTTTGAACTTTTTTCTGAACTCTTTCTCTTCTTTTTCCATCTTTTTAAGCTTTTGTGCATCTTTTTCATCTGATTTACGTTTTCCAAGGCTTGCTGATTTTGATGAACTAAAACAAGAGGTTACAAACAAAATTAGCAACATATCTACCTTTCTGATAATTTTAGTGAAAATGCATTTGCCTTCATGTGTCTTTAGTATGTTTTTGTTGCTCTACAAAACTAATATGGATAATACAATACAGCTTTGAGTTGGTGTTGTCTTTCCTACTTCTCTCTTTTAATGAGTTTTAATGTTAATGTAACTGTCACATAAGTGAATATGGAAAATTAGCAGCTAGACGAATCTAGCTGCTACAGCAATGAGAACTTTACATCTACCAAAAATAGTTTGTGTAAATGATACCCATCACTTTAGAATCTCTAGGCAAGGAGAAACTTTTGTGAAATCTATGTATCTTTGGGCAACAGACTGAGTAACACGCATCGCACTGTGGAGGCAGCTGGAACATCTTAGCCTTTCGTACAGCAGCTGTGTTAGTCTTGTGTGCCCACAGAAGACCTTGCTACACCAGGGAATCGGCATTACATGACCTATTACAAGTTCTGTTGTTTTTTCACATCCCTGATACTGTTGACTTGTGCCAATGAGCGTGGAAGGGTTTCATGCCCTAACTGCCTTTCCTGATGCTGTCACCAGGAATTTAAAGTTTGACTCTGCATTTTGATCCTTCCTGATCTCTGGAGGGGTTGTGGATGAGTTTCACTGATGACGAATACATGCGTGCATGTGGATGAAGTAACCTAGGTTTAGGTTAAGAGGGCCACGTCTTTTCCTTTGGATATACAGTTCAAAGAACTGTCTATGTTTTAATGGCTCTAGACTAGATTGTCGTGGTGCACTCTGTAGCTCCACCTGCGTGGAGTTAGTGACAACAGAACATGACATGTTGCAGTCATCATCACAGATGCATCTGTGCTCATAATGCCTCTGTGCTTCAGAGATGGCCATCACTTCCTGGTGCAGGGCTGAAAGTTTTCTAAGTTGAACTTTACACCTCCAGACATGTTTTATACTTAGAACACAGGGAACTATCTCCTTTTCCCTTAAAATATTGTAACAGCTGGGATCAAGTACTTATCCTAAGTCTCCAAATTTTGATAGGAAGAGGACTACATGCAGAGAATCTGCAATGAAGTACCTTTAGGCCATGAATTAATTTCTACCTCTTGTCCATCAGGGGCTGAATTTGTTGAAATTAAAAGCATGCTTATTTATTCTATAGTCTAATAACTATTTCAGTCTGAAATGGACGCAGGGAGCATTCAGCTGCCATTGTCAACAGTAGAGTTAGGAGAACCACAAAACCTGACAACACCAAATAAGATATACATTAGTCGCAATCTGCCTTTAGTAAATACTTTGAAAATGTTTCACAGTGTATTACAGATTTCTAATCAGGGGAGTGATTCCCATTTTCACTTGCTTGAGTTCGAGCGGTGGAGGAGGGAAGTCTGAAGAATCTACATCGTCGTAAACATCGTCTCCACAATCTGAAACAATAGTGTTTAAAAGAATGGAAAATTATTATGTGATCCTTGAGTAGTGAATACATTCTGTTACAGTCTATGGTAGTGTAGCTAAGTTGACAAGAAATTGTGGCAAGTACTGTAGCCATGTATTGTCTGTAGTAACTGTGGCTTCTCTGTTTTGCACAACGTACTGTGCAAAATGAATACCAGCCAACCTTTTCAGAATAAGACTCTTTATTAATAATAATAGGTATTCACTGATATTTTAATCTTCTTAAGCTGAAGCAAGTTTTAGCACATGTTGGCTAATGCAATAGCCTTTAATCTTCATTTTAATGAGTCCATTTCCCACTGTGTTACATCAAAGTATATTTTGGGGGTTTGATGTTAATGTAAGCTGGGCACTTCTATAGCACTCTAGTCAATGCAACATTGCTTAGAAGTGGAGATGAATAACATGTTAGTTTTTAGGCCATCTTGCAATGCCAACACAGCGTAAAGAATTCTTACCCCAAGAATATACTCTGAATCACATTCAGCATATTTCTGGAGAGGAAGCAATTACTCAACTCATCAAATCAATGGCTAGAAAAATCACAGTAGGAGATAAAAGGTTTAGAACTCACAGAATCACAGAATCACAGAATCACAGAATGTTCGGGGTTGGAAGGTATCTCTGTGGGTCATCTAGTCCACCCCCCCTGCTGAAGCAGGGTCACCTACAGCAGGCTGCACAGGACTTTGTCCAGGCCAGTCTTGAGTATCTACAGAGATGGAGAATCCACAGCCTCCCTGGGCAGCCTGTTCCAGGGCTCTGTCACCCTCAGAGTGAAGAAGTTCTTCCTCATGTTCACACGGAACTTCCTGTGCTTCAGTTTGTGCTCATTGCCCCTTGTCCTGTCGCTGGGCTCCACTGAAAAGAGTCTGGCCCCATCCTCCTGACACCCACCCTTCAGATATTTATCAGCATTTATGAGGTCCCCTCGCAGCCTTCTCTTCTTCAGGAGAAACAAGCCCAGTTCCATCAGTCTTTCCTCATAGGAGAGATGCTCCAGTCCCTTCATCATCCTCGTAGCCCTCCGCTGGACTCTCTCCAGTAGTTCCTCATCTTTCTTGAAGTGGGGAGCCCAGACCTGGACACAGTACTCCAGATGGGACCTCACTAGGGCAGAGTAGAGGAGGAGGAGAACCTCCCTCGACCTGCTGGCCACACTCCTTCTAATGCACCTCAGGATCCCATTTGCCTTGGCAGCCAGGGCACACTACTGGCTCATGGTTAACCTGTCATCCACCAGGACGCCCAGGTCCCTCTCCACAGAGCTGCTCTGCAGCAGGTCCACCCCAAGCCTGTACTGGTGCATGGGGTTGTTCCTCCCTGCGCGCAGGACCCTGCATTTGCCCTTGTTGAACCTCATCAGGTTCCTCTCTGCCCAGTTTTCCAGCCTGTCCAGGTCACGCTGAATGGCAGCACAGCCTTCTGGTGTATCCACCACTCCTCCCAGTTTTGTGTCCTCAGCCAACTTGCTGAGGGTACACTCTGTCCCTGCTTCCAGGTCATTGATGAAGAAGTTGAACAAGACTGGACCCAGTACTGACCCCTGGGGAACAGCACTAGTTACAGGCCTCCAACTAGACTCAGCGCCGAAGACAACTGTCTGAGCTCTGCCATTCAGGCGATAGCCTCAAAAATTGTAAGAACTTGATTTTTATTCCATGGCTGAGCTGATATTTATGAGTATATGTTATCTTACAAAAACACTGCAAGAGATTAAAAAACCAACATGCATCTCTTTTCTTTTGAAGTCTTACATTAGATGTGTCTTTCCAAGTGTATCTGTTCAGACTCAGTGTCAAATAAAACTAGTGGAAATCTCATGTACAAAAATCATGACTTCTTAGAAGATACAGTAAGTTGTTATCTAGAGAGCTTGCAATGTATTTGTATCTTCTTGTCTGTAGCCAAATCTGTCACAATATTTGAAATTTCTTTGCTGGAACTGGGTAAGAAATGGGAAATCCTGTTTCCTTCCTTGGATGTATTTTTGTGACTAGCATGATACAGAGTAATGTATACAGAGAAAAGGATCAGGAATTAATCTGGAGACTGAACAATAGGCTATTAATTACCTTTTCCAAGCTGCTTTGTTGAAGGAGGCATGCTGGAAAAAAGAGATGCTCATTAAGTAATTATATCCCATTAATATGTTTTTGCATCATTTAAATCATTTAAAAACCTTGCACACAAGGTCTCCAAGTAAGCTCCAGACATTTTGAAGCTCCGCTGACAACAGCAATAGTCATGGACTAAATGTATTTTTACCACTGAGTCAAACTGAGCTGGTTCAGAACTGAATGAAAGATGATGGTGGTAAAAACACCAGTTGCTGTTGTAACCTCTAGGCAAGAGGGGTAGAAAACAATCTTTGTATTTTTCTCTTTGGTATAGTATTCCTAAAATTTTGATTAATGGGACTAGATTGAACTGTTTATCTCAGATACGTTGTAATAATGATCAAAGTACATTTTAACTGAGGATACAGCAGACTTACATCACCAGAGTACCACAAAGATGATGGATTATTTTGGTGCTCTTCATGAAAAAGAGGTTTTTGTGTATTTTAATTACAAGACTTATGCAATGAATGTAGCTTGTTTAAAGAATAATTACATTAGGCATGTGAAAAGAAAGGAGGTCAGTGTTTTTGCAGAAAGCATGATCCTGAGCTGCAATTTGATGAATGATTCATTAGGGTGCTGTGAGAACATGTTAGTAGCATGTGATCAATGCTTCATTAGAATTAGTTAATGTGCACTGTGATTTCCTGGTAGACTCTTACAACAAATCTCCATTATCTTCTGCCCCATCGACTTTAGCTGTTTTTGCTCGTACACTTTTCTTTTTGTCATCTTTGACCTTTAGCCTCTTCAAGATTCCCCAGGACCAGATACCATCCTTATCTTCATCCTGCGATACAGACCTTTGGAGTATGCATGCAATTATCACAATGTAAAATGCAGCAATCTTTTTAAAAGGTCCAATTTAAATTCTCCATTGATGCACATAGTTCTCATTAATGCCAAAAATGTATATACCGCAAGGGGAGGACACTTACCGAAATGCTAAACACTAAAATTTTAAACTAGAAATATGTATGTTAGGTCATTTGTAGATAGTGGAATAAATTTGTAAGCATAGATAAGAATCTACTAGCTTACTCTTTTCATGTTGTTACTCCGCAAGTTAACATTTTAGTTTGTTATTTTCATTTCAGAGCTATTCTCTTTAACATTAATTAATATTATTAAATTTATTATTATTAAATTTAATATTATTAAAATTTAATAATTTTCACAAGTGCAGCTGCTTTTCCTGACACACCAAAATTAATTACAGAACAAAACTTCTGCAAAAGACCCAAGAACCCTTTCTTTCAGCTTGAAGAATCCATCCTAATATATACCCACTTGCTGATCTTCTTAATATTGTTAATTATCATGCTTCATTCAAAATACTAAAAACTGAAATGAAAACACTCTGTTAAAGAAGCAAACCATATAAATGATATGAAACTTACCTAGCTGCAGCATCTTCATCATCAATCCCATCATAAATTTCTTGATCAAAAGGAGGAGGTGGGAACATCTCTTTAACAGATCAAACAGTGAATTAATGCATTTATATTTAGTGATGCTGAATAGGGTATTCATTTCTTTGATGAAATTCTAAATTGCTGATTTTGGCTCAGTCATTATGATGACTGATGACTTTTAAATTTTTGTGTGTGACTAGTGATGATTGAAGAAGTCAGACCAATATTCTCAGCAAGTGACATCGTGTGTTCATCCACAGAAACCAGAGGCAAGTGCAACATAAGCTCCCCGTTTTGGTCCCAGTTCTGACCTTTGAGCCCCACCTCCTTCAGTGCAGGGTTAGCTCAGTTTCCATGTCCAATTCTAGCCACTGGTCCAAGTAATCACTGAAATCTGTACTTAGCTGGCAGCAGCTTCGTTCAGCACTGCCAGGGAATGTTTGTGCCATGACTAGTATCTAAACTCTCAGATGAGCTGTACTCTTGTGATCAACAGAGAATGCTACATAAATATATGTGCTACCAAAGGGGAAACTGGGTTTGAATGTTTGCTCTTGACAGTATGAAACTGCTGCTGTCGTACTTGTTAGGACTACAGAGTATCGCTGAAACTGAAGTTCCCCATGACTGTCAGCAAAACGAAGCTTTAATTGGTAGTATTATTGGCTTTTTCAGAACTGGATTTCTCCTGCACAAAACCTCTTAGTCATGTCAATATTTTACCAATTATATTTGTGCTGTTTTGTGTGGTGATTTACCTCCACACAAAAAAATATGAAGTTTTGTCATCTTCTGGGATGCTTGTGATTCACAGTATCTGGAGACAAAACTTCTTTCTTGCCCAGGTTCCTATAGCTGGAAAGTAAGTTAATTTGGGCACTATACCTCCTTGCTTGTTGCCTGCTAGCTATCGTTTAGCATGCTTACGGATAATTACTGCATTATTTAGAAGCTTCAGAGGTCTGGATTTGAAGGTAAGCAGAAACAACTCTCCCCAAAAAGTATATGTAGAACTTACTTCCAGCTCCACTTTGACCACCACTCTGACTGGAAAAGCAAACAAGAGATGTTTTAGAGAAAAACAGTCATCCTTTGGAAAAAGAAAACACCATGATCACCCATCACTTTTGTAGTTATGAGTTCTAAATATTTTGGCTTTGGCACTCCTTTACATCACCAATTGAGCACTACAAGTTCTGCACTGGAAGCTCAGGCAGATGCTTGTGAGTTCTATATGGGCAACAACTAAATGTGCCAGTTCTTTTTTTCTCTCTGTTTTCACCACACTCAAACCAATTTCTTACAGTCAAACAGTAGCTGCATTCTCGCTAATGCTAAAGAAACTGTTCCATTTAATTCATAAGTGATCTAGCTCTTAGATGAGGAGAGATTAATTTTTAGTAGGTTCAGGTAAAGCAGGACAAAATACTCTGGTTTGTTTTTTTCTTTTCCCTTGAAAATAATTCATTACAAATCAGAAAAGAGTTATTTTAAAATATCATTTTCAGTAATTGAAAAGGTTATAAGAGAAAGAATTATCAATACCATCTTTAGTTAATGTAAAGAAAAAGGACTGTATTTTATAAGTAAAGCTGTGAAGCAAATTCTCTATTTGCAAAAATCAGTGCAGATATTTCAAGACAATGAAGGTGCTCATTTTCAAGCAAGTGGAACATTCGGTCCTAATAGATAATAAGTGTTATCAGCTGTTAGCAATTTCCAATAGAGTGTAATTTTCAAGGAAATGCAAACTGATGTCTACAGCTATTACAATTTGCTATATTTAGAATATATTTTATATTCCTGATGATGTCTTTAAACTGCAGTACAAAATATGACTTTGGATCATAGGATAACTGATGTTGGAAGGGATCTCAGGAGATCCTGCAGTAAAACTTGATGGGAATAAAAATATAATCTGACTGAACACTAAGCAGTGCATCCAAACCCTTTAGATTCATCCCTTATGAGAGGATTTTTTTGAGATGAAATGGTAAACAAATGAATTTATTGCTCAAATAGCTTTCATTTGGTGATGCTTTAAGCTTCTAACTGCACGTTTCAAACATTTCAAGGATTCCATATTAGTCTACTGTTTTAACAGTAACTGGAAAAAAAATGATAGGTTTACAGTAACCGAGATAATTTCCAGGTCAGAGCCTTACTTAAACTGCTACATCAAAACAAGATATTTGTTAAACTCTTGTGACAAGAAATCCTGAAATACAATAGCTCTAGTCAGTTAGTGCTTTTGGAGTATTAACAATACTACCAATAAGGAAATAATGCTGTTTGGTCAAGAGACTTTTTTTAGCATGGCATTCTTACAGTGGTTTCAAGACATGTTGATGTATGTCAGACCTTCCAACAATTCATGCTCATGAACTGAACAGAATGCTAATAATCACTAGAGAAGATAAAAATGTCAAAATACGGCTTAAAGAATTTAATGAATTCGAGCCATTCATTCATCCTTAGAAGTTCCTTACACTGTGATTTTAATACACAATAGTGTGTGTATTCTTTTTTTGCTTTTGAATTCAATAAATTTTCTCAATTCTGTGCATTGAGGTGGTTAGTTGTAATGCTTGCCATAGTAAAAAGGGTTGGCCAAAGATACTTCTGCAAGGAAGTACCGAACACTCAGATTACCTAAAACCTAGAACAAATAAAGCAACTCTTCTGGCTAGGTTACAATGCTATGAGACCCATGCGCAGGGAGGAAAACTGGTATTGAGCAACCTGGAAAAACATCAGATGCAAAACTATATTGGTTGCTTAAAGAATGCCACCCTGAAGGCAGATCTTTCCAAGCACAGTTCCTGGAGGTCATGGGGACTTTCTACCAGCAGCCAGCCAGCTGTGTTCGCTGTATTCCAGCCAGGCCTCTAAGCTAAGGTGCTGGGAAGCGGTAAACCAGGTGCAATGCCAGAGTGTTTCAAGGTGGATGTCCTACACATTGAAATCCTCTACACTCACATGCAGATCTGCTATTTGAATCCCAGGGTATGTGTTTCTGCACATCAGGACATGTAATGGAGAATGAGCACCGGTTTGTTGCACCACATGACAGAAGCAAGAGTTTTATGTGAGGTCTGGTAACAAAGATACCACGATCATGTTAGATCATGTGATAGCCTTGACTCCTGTCACAAGATCACTAGGATGTTTCCCTGCCAGCAAGTTTGATATGCTGCTGGAGATGGCACTTCTCTAGCTGAAAATCTATTTTATGTGGAAAATATGGCACATTGAAGTAGAGACTCTAAAATATAGCACTGCATTGCAAATACTTGCGAGTGTGGCATAGTGGAGAAGCCTCTGATGAAGTAAAAAATACATAGCTCCTACCCATCTCATGGGATTTTGTAGGCCTTATTTTCAGGACTAAACACATTAGACAAACTTCTGAAGGGCTATCCTTGTCGCACTTCCAGAAGTCCCTTCTCTTCAAAAAGAAAGCGGTAGTAAGGCTACCTCTGGTTTGAGAGCAATGAGGGTGATTAGGAGTTCCCCAATGCAGCGAAAGTTTCAATTGTTTTTAGAGTCTTTTATTCTTGCATGTTAGAAAAGGCAGTGTGTGACTTCAAAAGACAGAACAAGGAAAGAAAGGGAGGAAAGAGAATTGCAGTTCCAGCAGATTATTTGTAATCCTGTGTGTTTTGCATATTGTTCGCTTTTGCACTGCAGTGCTGTAAGTCCTCTTTCAACAGCATGGATTCCTCCTGAGCATGAGTGCTTATAGATGCTGGATTCCAGAATCCATTCTTGTTCCTCTGAATGCTCCAGTTTGAATAGTTGTGTTACATGTTTCTGATATAAACAGCTATTCTTTTGTGACAAGAGTCTGCTTTGTTTGTTGTAAAACTTCCCCTGTCTAGGCTGACTGCGGTGAATCATTGGTTCGTTTTCATGCGTTCCTTAAACATACCTGCTAATACTGTCCTGCTCTCCAACATCATCATACACTTCTTGGTCACTCTCTGTATGTTTCACAGCAGCTCTGGTGGATGGTTGTTGCTTTCTTCTTAAAGAATCATAATCAATCTCCACAATGGTTGTTTTAATGTATCCATCTAAATGAATGAAAACATGTAATTAGGCAGATAGTTTTAAAGCTCATGGTAAAGGGATGAGTGTAACAGAAGGTTCATCATCAATCATTGACTTGTTTTATATGATCTTTGAAAACTTTCAAAGAAGTGTCCCATTCTAAGCAGACTCAGCTCGAGTCTCCATCTGTTTACACAAATATCAATCTCAAATCTGTCAGATCTCCCCCCAAACCCTCCTCAGCTGGTGTTAAGTTAACTTCACCTTTAATTACTTCTCAGCTTCAGCGGAAAAATTTTCTGTGCAGACTCCAGGAATCATGGGGAAAGCTCCCTTCCTCAGCTGGCCTTGGGACCACTGCAGTTTCATGGCATATTTTAGGGAGGTCCATGACGTAAAGATTCTGACAGGTTGTTAGCAGGGAGAGACGTGTTGTTTGCATTGATTTTGCTTCAGGTTTGTAGACATGCTGCATCTGCATGGCTATCCTCATCGCTGGATCTTCACTAAAAAGACCTGTTTATACCCCTGGGTGCAATGGCTCATGAGAAACTTGCAGCAGAGCAGTTGGCCTGAGATTGGAAACTCTGTCTCTGCTGAGGGGAATCTTAACAGGCGTACTGCCTGTACAGAAGAGAGCATGAATGGGTTTTCTTAAAGGTGGAAAATGGTCATGCATTTCTTGAAAACAGAAAATGCCTCACTCTGCTGCTGCTGAACGAACCTGGTTTTTAGTGTGCTTTCTCTCAAATCTGTAATACGTTGATATTTTTCTTTCATGTATATCATCAAAACTGCTATTCTTCTGTTGTTTTGTCTTCTTCACAGACCATTATTGGCCTGTGAACACTGAAGGCTGAAGCATTAATGAAACACATTGGGCTGTACTATTGACACTTGTCAATGAGAAGTCTTGTACAACTTGCAGTTTTGTTGAAGCAAGGATTGGTTTATGGAAATTAAATTATTTATAGGTAAATTAATGAATTGACTGCACATACTCAAGAAAATATCCTTCTCCCAGCCCTCACCAAGATTTGTTTTCCTATGAACAAAATGATCCATGACTTATTTACAAAATTTGAAAGTATTGCAGAAAAGCTGATGTTGGAATTTAGCTCTTGAGATCATCTTGGCCAATCCCCCTGCCCAGGCAGGATCTGCTAGAGCAGGTTGCCCAGGACTGTGTCCCATCAGGTTTTGAAGATCTCCATAGATGGAGACTCCACCACCTCTTTGGGCAACCTGTTCCTTTGCTTGGTCACCCTCACAGTAAGAAAGTGTTTCCTGATGTTCGGACAGAATTTCACGTGTTTCAGTCTGTGCCTGTTGCCTCGTGTACAGTCACTGTGCACCACTGGAAAGAGCCTGGCTCCATCTTCTTTACACCCTCCCACCACGTTTATGCACAATTATAAAATACTCCCTGAGCCTTCCCTTCACCAGGCTGCACTCAGCCTCTGTTCATATGAGACACGATCCAGTTTCTTAATGTCTTTTTACACACAGTACTACAAAGTGCTCAGCTGGTGTTGTTCAGTTCTACATGTGTGAACTGTCTTACTGAACTTACTGTCACTTTAGTCTCCTTAAAAATCAAACAAGTGCTTTTAATAATTTTAATTGATTTTATGGATTAGTCTTTTAATGTCTGTGTTATAACCTAGAGGCCAGATCATCAATCCCTGATGTTACTCATAGATCCACTGATTATATTTATACAATTAGAGAAACTTCTTGGTTTACAGACAAAATACAATCTAGAAATTAGTTAGAAACTTTCCATGGAAACAGGAACAAGACAAACACTTAAAACAGGGCCTTATATTCTCTGCTTCTGTTTTAGGAACACCTGTGTTATTTTTAATACAAAGACAAAGACATGAAAAAATGCGAACATTGCACGGAGCCAAGTTCTGATGCTCTTTGAAGCCTGACATGGAATTACCTCTCAGTAGGTCAATGAAGATCCCAAGATATTCTTCCTAGCTTATTCTAGCGCATGTAGATGTTACGTTATGTTGTACAATAACTTCCTACTATGAACTAAGCCTCACATGCCTGCTAAGGACAGGAGGGTGAGTTGCAGCGATTATTTACTTTGGTGGCCAGTGACTCAGCCTTGGTAAGGCTACTACTTGGTGTAACACTCACATGTTTGCTTTCATACAGTGAAAACATTCAGGTGCACAGTGAAGAAACAGAACTCACAACATCCTTTTATCCTGCCCAGCCACTTTCCTTCTGGGTTGTCTGTGAGGCGAATGATTTCAATCTCATCCCCCTGTTTGACAGTCAGCTCATTCTTCCCTCCCTTGTGGTCAGCACAAACTCGTGCCTGATGAAGGACTTGGATGGGTCCTGTTAACTGCAGAGAAGAGGCAACAAAAGAAATCACAGATGTGGAAAAATAGAGCTCTTTCCCAAACATTCAGACAAAAGAGAAAATAACTGTAATGGTAATTATTCATTTCATTGACCTTTAAAATAGTCTAGGCACATAAACAGAAAGGCATCACTCCTGTCCCTGACTACCCTGTTTAAACTAATAATCAGGAATGAAAAGAATGAGCAACAGCAAAGCAGTAGAGCAGCTGAAAGAATGACTGGCAAAGTCACAGAAATACAAAAACTAAAAGCAACAGGCTAACTTATGGAGCCTTTCACAGGTTCACAGAACGTATTTCATTCCAGTGGGCAGCTGCCTGCAGTTCCAGCAGAATTACTCGTATGAGTAAATGCTCATTACTGTAAATATGTCTACCATGTAATGTTCTGTGTTTACAATTCTGCTGTATAAATGATCTTACAAGTACTCACAAGAGATGATCACACTGTTTACTGGAATGCAGGATTCTCTTTGTGAAATTTTTAGTATGTGTTATGGAGAAACCATATTCGATCTACTGTCTGTGGCTTTAAGATATATGGGATCTTGCAGAGGCATGTAGCTGTTGGCACTTACAGACTAGCTCAGGAATATCTATGCCGTATAGGTGGCGAAGAAACAGGAAAGAAAACATGCACTAAAATACACTTGCTTGCATTTAAGAGCAATAACATACTTTTACGGCCACAAGAGAGCCGTCTGCAGTCTGAAAGCATCCTGTGTGCTAATGCTTGCACTCCACAGGGGTGGTCTAGACTAGGGGCCTGACAAATGCCAGCTAACCCACGATTATTTACTATCATTATTTTCCTTTAATATTTGCTCCTCAACTCATGTCAGTCTCTGCATAGCAGACCAAGGCCGTGATGTGAGAGAATCGCCATGGCTTTACCGTGTACAGAGCATAATAGGAAGAAAAACAAAGCTGCCCGCTATGTACAAAGAGACTGGAAGTACAGTGGAGCATTGTAAACTGGCATTCGTTACCAGAAAATGACTGGTATATTTTGTAAACTGTGGGAGAATGCTGACCACCAGCTACACAAAAATGGTATAAAACAGAAAGAACTGTCTCATCATTTAGCCCCTAGGCTTTGACAGTGACTGCAGCTGCCCTACACATGTCCTATTTCCTTCCTCACCACTTAGGCTGGAAGTCTCTTTAGGTCTCTTCAGGCCAAGGTAAGGGCAATATGTTGCAATTAGTGTTGAAATCTCTTAGGGGCTGGATACTGTTTCATCTGACTCCAGTGAAGCAAAAAACACCAAGCATACAGGATCCAGTGTCTACTTTTATTAAGGACTATTCTAGTGATGTAAGTGGTTTTTAAACAAAAAAGTGAAAGGAAATGTTTTTAAGTCTTTTTCACATGGAAAGACCATGAGAAGGGAATTTAATGAGAACTATATAAGCATGGAAAAAATGTCTTTGCCCTCAGTACAGAGCCTGAAGTCAAGCATATGCCAAACATAAAAGGGTAGCTTAGACCTTCATTCAGAATTTATCCAGATGCTTGAACTACTTACCATAACAAATAGTTTTGCAGCCAGCTGAAAAGTGTATTATGAACTCAACAATGCTAAATAATGCTTCTTACGTGTCTTTCACATGATTACAAACAAAAATCTTACTTTGAACTTCTTTCTTATTTCCTGCTCTTTCTTTTCTTTTTCCTTTTGTTCTTTCTTCTCTTGGTCCATTCTTCTCTTTTCGTCCTTGTCCCGCTTCTTCTCTTTTCCCCTTGATGATCTGAAAGTGCATTGCCACGATTGAATGCAGCAGTGAAGCAAATCTCACTAGAGCTTTCTTACCCAAGGTTAACAAAGAACCACATGTGGTGAAAAAAGACTTCTCCGAGTGAAATCAAGCTACAGATTCTAAACACTAGTGTGGCTACAACAGATAGACTAAGCAGCCTTTTCTTTTATACTACATATTCAATTTAAAGTGGCTGTCCTGAAGAGGGCAGTACGCCAGAAAAGGTTACCTGGAGACAAGAGACTGGCTCTACACGTGCATGCTCAAACATCTCTGAGCTACCTTTAGCAAGCGAGCTTGGAAACTGGTAGCAGTCTAGGTGTTGTGGCACTGGCTGCAGCTGTTAAATAACTACCCAGGCCATCAATGGCTGATGCAGCCTGAACTGAAGCCTGAGCTACACTGGACTGTGGTTTCAAACCTAATTGAAACCTATTCCGGCGGTCTACACAAAAGACGGTCAGTCTTCTGTGCTGCATCATAAATGTACCTACCTCGCCAGGGTACATTGCCTCCTGTACTGGATGATGCTGAGATTTGGTCCCTGGGGTGTAATTAGGACTATAGCTACAGCTCTGCCATTTGCTGCCAACGATTTGGATGGAAGAGCTGTGCTTTACAAACCCTACGGAACTGATTGAGTGAGGCTTCCTTCTTTTTATTTTTTGGTGCTTTTGCTAAACTGATATGCTGATATATGAAATTTTATTTAAAAAAGTATGAATGACTATCACTTGTTTTGGTTATATAGTTTTAAAATTATCTATTTTCAAAGGGAATTCGACAATAAATTTTTGCTGAAAGTCATTCTACATCTGAAATAAGTGGTTTTTTAGTATAGGAACTTTTGACTGTTACTTATTCCAACAGAATTAGAGCTTTTCCTTGGCTATTGTCATATAGTCAGTCTCATACATTTAAACATTAGTAGGGCAAGAAACTCGTCAAAATAAAGGGCTAAATGGCAGAAGAATGAGCAGAGTCATATTCTAGCTCTGTAGCTATGATAGGGGACTAAGGCCATGAGAACTGTAAACCCAGCCTCTCATAGCAGTTCTAAGTATCTTTCTCTAGAAAGCAAGAGAAACAACCATGACAAAAGATTCATCTGAGAACATAGTACCTAGGAGCTGAGCTGATTTTTCCTCCTAGGATGTAATTCCAAACAGTAATTCAGGCACATTCTTTAGACCAGAATTCAGACTTCCGTTATCTAGATCACAGTAACCACACAATTTTATTGCAGGAGTTTTACCAGCCCAGGGCATAGCAGGTCTAAGTAGGAAAAAACCTGTGAAGAACCTGACTTTCTCTAGGTGAAATGAATGAACAGAATAATGCCTAGCAGGGACTGCAGTGGAATCAGTTTTGTGCCAGATGAAGTATCTCTGTTAACAAGCTTTCAGTAATACAGATGTAATAGATTATAGAGTTTAAAATTACTACCTGATGTCATTTATGTCTTCATACATCTCTCCATCACTTTCTTGGCCCTATAAGAAATTACCAGTTTTTAATGGCCTAGATACGTTTGGAAATATATGAAGAAAATGGACCTGCTATGTAAGCTTCATACAAACTATATAAACACTTTTACAGCAAAATGTAAATACAAATTAATTTAATCTTCCCAAACTAAGTTACTACATTAGTCAAACCCACTAATATTTTTCTCTGACTTTGTTTTTACGATACCACAACTATAAAGTTCTGGATTGTTATAATCACACTAGCACATTGCTTAATCAAAAGTGGATGTTTTAATTTCAGTGTTAGTCCTGGAAAGCCTTTATTGTGTTGATGGTTGCAGTGCCATGATGAAGGTGCCAGGGTTAGCAGTTGTCAAACTGGAAAACTAGAGATCTAAATGGGACTCATATTAAGGTCTCAGAGACCAATACAAACCCATGCTTTACTGAAAGAAGTGGTTTATTACTAGAATAGAACAGGGTCCTTGTTTCTGGAAAATTTCAGTGAAATGAAATGTCAGTGGAAATGGAAGGGATGGTTTTGCTTTTGGTGTCTAGCCAGCTTTGATAATTAGTTCCAGTTTGCTCTGCTTACCCAGCTTTATTTCTGTCCTTCACAATAAGTAAACGCTTCTACAATTGACTGTCAATGTACTGGATTCATTCCGCAATTAATTTTCTAGTGCCTTGAAAGGATTTTACTCAAATTGTAAGTTTGTGCTAAAAAGAATAGGTTTATGGAGTGGAGGATAACACTTACCCCCTCCGTATTTCCGTGACCTATGTGACAAAAAATAAGAACAGGATATTTATTTTTTGCTGTACAGAAAACAATTCATTCTAGTGTTAACTATTTATAAACTGTTAATCATACTGCTGATAGTATCTAGAAACCTGTGTAGGCTCCTGCCTTTTAATGAGGGTTTGAATGCAAAAATTAGAGTTTGTCCAGGTTGCTTTTGTAGTGCACTGAAAACTAGAAATATGTACAGAATAGCATATTTCACCATGTATTTTTAAAAGTGGAAAATTTGTTTTAAAGATCCTTTAGTGACATCGATGAACTTACCTATGATATATGTTTACAAAAATGTCTATTTATACAATAAAGTAATTGCCAAATACCTAATAAATCCAAATAGACCTCAAAGAACTTGCTTGCACCAGTCTCACAGCTGGGTAAGGAGTCCAAAGGCTCTTTCACTAACCCAGCTTCTACCCCAGGCTGCAGGAGAAGAAACTGCAAATCTCCTTCCTCCTTACTCTGCAGGTAGTTAGGTAAGAAAAGAGCTTGGGGTCAGTTTCAGCTCCACAGCCGACACTGCTGCACGATAGGGATGGCTAGCACACTTAACAATGCGTACTGTGCCTGGCACAGACCAAGTCCTCCCAAGGAGAGAGCAGAAGGCAGATTGAAATTCTTTGTGTCTTCTCTGTCTGCTCCTGGTACAACATAGCAATTCACTGCCTCTTACTGAAGGCAGACCACAAAGTGATATTAAAAGCACAGGCAATGATTTTTTTTTTTTTTGTATTGAGTATAAAACAATGCCTGTTGCATCAGAGCACACAACTTCAACTCTGAAAGAGCAGCATTCATTTTGGTTCAGATTTGAAAATCTGGTTATTTACAGTCCCAGCACATTTGTAACCAAAAAAAGGGAGGGAGAGGGAAGATATTTAAAGCAGTTCCTGAGAGTCTGTCGTAATAATTCTAGAACAGTTAGTGTTATGAGACAACACTCGTCATACATAAAACTGCAGAACCAGCATAATTAGTTATACAAGTCACTCATTAATACTATATGCTTTTGCTTATCTTATAAATGCAATATTCTTACAGCTTTGTATAGCTGACATTAAATAAAATGCATGCATCTTACCCTGTGAAACAAATTCAACATCATCGTAATTTTCTTCATTGTCTGGACTTCTGTAAATATGAAAAAGTGGACATGTAAAACCTATGATAGTGGTTTTATGATTGCATTTTCATTCACCATTTTTCTGTTGCTTTTTTCAGCTATTTTATACAATGGCTGGACAGTCTGTTGAGCTTTATATGCTACTTAAGTACCTATGAGATTTCCTAAATTGTTCTTCCTGACTGCGACTTAATTTTTCATGTGGGGACACCTTGATCCTGAGTATAAAAGCAGAAAATAAGTCAAAGGCATTGGGACAAGTGTGGTATGAAAAATATAACAGGCAGGTGGGCTGACTGAACAGAAAGAATCTGTTGGGCTTTTTAACCATTTTCACAGGTGCAGGCTTCTTACACAATGCACAAGCAGAATGCCAGACTTTGCACAATGTTAAATGTAGGTCTAAGACCTACTCCTTGACTTGTAGAGCTTAAAGTCTAAACAAGGGACAAGAGAAAGAGTGGAATAAGGTTAGGCCAGGTAAAAGGTCTCTGATGTTGTTAGATTCAAAAGTGCTGTGAAATTGAAAGTAAGAAATTGTGAATGTAGCTAATAATAACATTCGGGAGTTTTGACTTTTTAATACATTATAATAGTTGAATGAGTACTAGGGCTGACAGTGATCATCAACCAGGTGTAACCAAACAAAGGACTTGAAAACAGAAAGCAATGTTTTAATCTTGGCTTGACGGAGAAAGCACTGAGACAGGGTGAAAGAAACCGAGTCAGCAGCCTGGCACACATTTTCAGCAGAGGCAAAGGTCCAGAGGGCATGCAGGAAAGGGAGAGCAAAAGGATGATCTGGAGGTAAATTTTGCAGATCCCTGAAGGCAAAGAGGACATACTTGGCTCCCAAGCATTTGGCAAGAAGGGTATCCAGGAGGGCTTCTGCAGGGGCTGCAGGATGGCTGTTGGCACCCAGCAGTCTGGCCACTAGAGATGGGTCAGTGATGGCATCTCCCCGGGGCCGTCCCTGGCAAGGCTGGGGGGACCTTTCCTACAGCCACGACCACAGCAGCAGCAGCGTGAGACTGATGTCACACCACATGTACCAAAATACAGTATGTGTGCTGACACACGCCTCTCTAATGCCTCATATATTCTCCCTGTCTGTTGTTTGCTGCTGTTTGAAGCAACTGCTGGCCAGAGAGACGCTCGTTATTCAGACTCAGCTTGTTTCTGGTCAGTTCTGAGATTTGACCGAAGAGCTTTTAACTCTTTTCAGCTGTGAGGTTCCGCTTTTGTATGCAGCTCTCGGAAGAAGGATGAAGAAAGGAGCCCTATACGTGGCAGAGGCTTGTCAGAGTTACCGTAACAGGCCACAATGCGGCTCCTGGTGCAGTTTCACAATCAGCGCTGAGCTCAGTACCTCCAGCTTGCAAAGCTGCTTCCTGGAGTATTAACCATAGACCTGACCCTCCCAGCCCTCTGCCCCCAGAAAAATGCAAGGGAAAATGCACTTCTTCAGCTGTGGATACAACTGATTTTCTACCAGTGTGTGAAGTCTTTGAACCTTGCCAGAGTAAAAAACCCAGTGGGGTGTCTTCTCCCTCCCTCCTCCCCTTATCAACAGGGCAGAAAATAATGTTGTTATAGATAAGACAATTCAGGGAAACAATAGGTGGAGGGTTCAAGCTAATAAAAACTAATTCCAAACAGGCCAGGGACAGGGTAGGACAAGGAAAGTGGTGTGGGACCTCACTTTCCCAGAAAGCTGGAGCACCTGCAGCCTTAATCTGCTGCTGCATGAGCAAAGTACTAGGCAGAAAAAGGTGAGAAAATAAAGAGCTTGGGGGTTTATATTCACTTACATTGTTTCAGGGCTGGGCTTGATGTTTCTGGGAGGCAGGCTGGGAGCTGCTGAGGACTGCAGGGATGGGTGAGAGGCTGGTGGAGGAGGTGGCAACTGCATAGCAGGGTGTGGTGGAGGTACAGGCGGGGAGGGTGCTCCCGAGGAAGGAGCTGTCTGTTTCAAACTTTCATTTTGAGGGCCTGAAAAAAAGAACAGACTGAACTTATCAAGCAAACAGCTGAGGAAAGAACCTCACTGTTTGCATGAAGTATTACGGTAAAGTATCTGTACTGCACACACCCCAGAGCAAGTATGTTTTGTTGAACCTGGTTTTTAGATATATTTGGTGCTTTGTCTTACCAGAATAGAGAGGCTTTGCCTAGAAGAAAGCACTGCCTACAGAAGGCCTTGAAAATGTCTTTGCCAAGACGCGGACAAGACACAAAAACATCAGCTCATCCAGTATATAAGCTCTTGTGCTTTAGAACTAAATTATCATTTAATTCTACAATTTGCTTGAAAGGACCAGCTGCAGAGTTTTACAAAACTCCTGCAGCCTTGCTGGAGTTTTCCTTGCTCAGAGGCAGAGTTTCAAGTGGAGGGATGAGAGATGAAAAGGTATTTTGGCATTGATTAAGACGTGTACAGGTACATCTTCAAATACATTTGTAACATAAGTTGTAAGAGGATGGACTTCATTTTCTAGCAAGCCCAAGTAGCAGTTTGAGAAGCTGCACAGAAGCTACATCCTCATCAAACAGGGGCAGTCTTAAAAGCAAGGTGATGCATTGCACCATGCACAGATGTTATAAGTACATGAGTGGGCTGGTGTGCATGTGTGTTGCACCGAATTCATGCTCCGTGTACAAGCCACCACCAAACCATCATAACCATTGCTTTGAGAGTTCACACTAAGAGAAGTTATTCAACACTGCCAAATGAAATTGCCATTTGAATGCTATGATGTTAAGCCTAGATTTTTGTTTCAATTATCATGAGTGGATTAAAAGCTATGCAGAAAGAATTGTCCCCAACTGTATGAAGGGAAGTCCAACAAAATCTAAGGAGGAAGAGAGCAGAAGCAAAAAGCAAATTCACAGTTCAGTTAAAACCAATTACAACTGAAAAGAACCCCCTTGCATTCTGGAGATTTTCTTCAAGTTCACACCTGTGTTGTGGAGACTAAAATTTTGTCAAGAAAAATAAACTTTCACCATGTTGGAAAAAAGTGGCTTAAACACAGAACAATGACAAATATTTAGTAATGCTTAATATCAAGACAAAAAACACTGAAAGAGCTTTCTTTAGCTGCTTAGGAGTCTGAAACTCTCCTTGGGATAGGCAGGAGAAGTGGAATTGCTAACTATTAGAAGGACCTCTGAAGAGTCACACGGAAATCAAAGTGAAATTGCTGAGACTTGACAGTTTTTCCACTTACTAACAAAGAACTCAAAAATTTCTGGATAAATTTGGCTTCATGGATGATTGGAGCAAGTTGCCAACATTCGTGTCATCAACAAGTGCATTTGAAACCTGTTAAGTTCCTCCATTACTTAAACAACAAAGTGCTAGAAGTCCCAGCATTGGTGATTACGCAGGTCAATTGTTTGGTAGTTTTGTTTTGTTTTTGTTTTGATGTTTTGTTGCCATTCACCTTGCAAGAGGAGACCCTTACAATTTAAGATATGCCAAGATTTAAGTTGTATGGCATCACATATCTTTTTATTCATGTATCTTTTTATCATTTTATTCAAATGTGTAGACCAAAAATTGAGTGAAATCACCCTTTCACTTAGTGCTGAGGATGCTACAGCAGGGTTAAAGTGTGCCAGCTGGACAGACCCAAAGGAGAAGAGTGAGAATGATTAGAGGTCTTAAAAACATGAATTCCTGGAGATATTGAACAAATGGTGGTTGTTTAGGGAAATATCATAAAGACTGAGGAAGAAAAAATGAATACCTAAGCCTCTGGCAAACAAAAAAAGGATATTTTTTTTTTGCCTTTTTCCTTCCCATGGTGCAGAAGGCAAGAAGTAATGTGTTTAAAGGCCAGCAACATTTGTTAGGAGGCACTTTCTAATAGTGAAGGTGGAATATTTTGAGCCCAACAGCTAGAGATCTACTAAAATATTGTTTTGGCTAAAACTTCTCTTTCGGAAAGATGTTCTACTTCTTCGAAGATGGGAGAAAGAATGTACGACTAAAAAGTTTGCTTGGTTAAGTTTGCTTACTGTTAAAATCTGCATCTTAATGTTTTCTAAGTTTGACAGGATTCAAGTTCTATTAGTTTTATTTCTACCTTTGTTTACTAGATAAATACCCTTTTTATAGCCACTGTTTTCTATCCATAAGGTATTGATACCACTGAACTTAACCCATATCTCAGTTTTCTTTTTGATAACTTCAAAGACTCAACCTTTTTAATCTCATCTCACGGCATTTCTTATTTTCTGTCTAGCAATAAGTTTGTAGCTATTTTTGTAATGTCTTCAACTTTTCCAGCATTGTAAAAAGTACAGCATTGGAATTCTACACAGTATGCACTTGTCTGCCACATGCAGTGATGAAAATTGCAAGTTGTTCTTCATCTAGCCATCTCTCTACTGATTGCATCCAGGGCGTTTTAGTATTTTCTTGAATTGTCATCCCTCCTCCCGTTTTAGAAGTGCAGACACCTGAAGATCAATCTAAGTCCCATTAGAAAAAAGCTTTCTTTCAAAAACTTTGTAACTATACGAAGATTCCCTGAGGGTAAAATAAGAATTTACAGTTGCAGGCTGACAACCATGATGCAGTAGACTTTTCTGTCACATCATTGTCCTTACTCAGCTGTAGAGTTGTTCATGGTCTAGACTTTTTTCCCAAGGCACAACACTATCTTGTTTCGCAGGTGTGGTTTATGTTTCTTCATTCTACACATATATTTGAATTTGAGTAATGACAAACTGTTTAAAAGAGCGAAGATTACATGTGATTGTACTTTCGTTGTATTGGAGTCTCTGAGGACTGTGTGTTTGCATTTAACTTCTCACAGTCTTTACTCATCCACAGACTTTGTCAGCTATAATCTCTTATTGTTCAAAAATCCCTGATAAAGGTGAATAGCACTGACAGTTTAAGCATACATCTGCAGTTATATTCTTTTAAGCAGATTCTAACCATGTAAAGAAGTCAGAAAGTTGTTGGGTTTTTTTTCATAAAAGCCATGTTAATTGGTATTAATTATATTCTCATCTTTTGGGAGTTTTGACAGGGAATCCTATCTCAGTTTTTTTTGGTTATATTTATGTTTCCCTAATACAGTGTTGTGTATATGCATGACATGCATACATGCATTGTCATCACACAGTGTTGCTTCATTGTGACGGCTTTGTAGGACTAAGGTAAGAATTCTGCCCAAGTCTTTGTGCATAATACTTCTTTCATCTGTTGTCTCTTGAGAGCCAAATCCAGGCAATAGGAAACTGAGCCAGGAAAGGACATACGCGTTTTAGATTAAGTGCTTATTTTTAAGTATAAGGGCTGAACAACCTGTCCCTTTTAATTTATGTACATTGTTGGAATCTAGCAATAGCTAAATGATCATCATGTTAATGGCAACACTGCTTCTCTATTTCCTAACTATTAGAACTGACTTTTAGAGTTGTAATTATGTACACTTACACTGACTGAGACTGGTGTGGGTGTAAACTGCTTTAATTCTAATACTGAAAATGATAGGATGAGTTAGGTTGGAAGATGACTTTCAGTATGAAAAAGCTGTTATAATCAGACCCGCAGACCCAAAGCTATCACATTGTTTCAGTAGTGTTTTGTTTCCTATTTTAATGGAGTATTTCATTTTCCAGTTCCATCTTTTTGTGTGCCTTGGTACTCTGGGGACACAGAAAGGCTCTGTGCTGGCAGTGGAACTAAAGTCAGCTCCAGACACTCAGAACAAGAAATCAAATTGAAACTACATCCTGGCTTCACATGCACCCAAAGCATTCTCTTCACAGGAAACAGTGTGAAGGACCATCACTGTGTGGTAGCTTTGACCACTAACACCTCAGTTTCCAAATAGTCTTCTCTCTTCTTAGGACTCTCAGCTTTTTTGCATGCTGTGCTGCACTGAAGAAACAGATGCAGAAACTAAAGCTCTTCACAAAGAAATGAAAGAACAGATGAAAAACAAGGAGTTCCTCAAAACCTGTGCAGCTGTACAGTGACTGAGAGAAACTTGCCATAGAAACTGTCCATAGAAAGTACCAAATATGCCATTACACTGCTGCTTGTAGTGTTAAACTTTAACCATGTCCAGAGCTTCAGCACTTACAGCAGAACTGCACACAGAATGCTGCAAACACTTCTCTTGTGTTCTTAGGGAACCTTCTCAAGCAACTTCCATACATGCAGTGACCAAAAGGTCACTTACATTCTTGGAGAATTTTTTTTTTTTCAGGAAGTCCAGGACACTGAAGTTGCCTTGATGCAAAGCTTGTGATTTTGATCCTTGCCATTCCTGCCTTGTGAAAGAGAAATATTGATACCTGTTTGGTAGCTAACATAACATCTAGAGACAGAACCATCATCCCTTCATGTCCAGATATTCTGTGTTCAACAATCTCAGGAGAAATCAACCCACATATAACAGTACTCTATAATCTCCATGTCTCTCCTGCATGAACCCAAAGAGAAACTAGCAAAAAACCCAATATAAGTCCAGGTATTTGGAATCCATGTATTCTATGTAGTGAAAAGCAGGTTTCAGGACAGGATGAGAAAAAGATATCCATTCCCACCTTGCTGAAATCTTCAGTGTTGTCCTGGGATTCTGTATTACTCTGTCCTGAGATGCTAATACCAGAAATATGTGGCAGACTTAAGGGAAATCCTAGAAATGCCTGGGGTTCTCGTTGGAAGAGCACATGCAACAAGCAGTACTTGGTGGGTTAGGAATCTGGTGGGAACCAATACTTTGGCGAGGGCCAGTTGTCCCCAGTCCTTTTTGAAAATTGTAAAATAAATTGGACTCCTGTGCAAGGTTGATATGGACTCCAGTACAGACAAAGCTGAAATGACATGTCTCTGTTTATCGCCCCCTTAAATACCAGGGTATCTCACTGGTTGGACAAGAGATTGGCACATAGATGATGAACAGTGTCTAATTATCATCCTGAGCGAAACAGAAGCAGTCAAAGAAAATAACATTTTTAGCACT